CCGTTTTAGCTTAAATAAGGATACGTTCATTGTTGTTTGTATTTTCAGTTCGCAGTTATTTTAAGTGTCTTATATGCTTATTTTACACTGGGCTTAATTCTACTGAGGGGTGTTTCAATAAAATCACCTTAAACACTGAATGGATAAAGCCATGTTTGAGAAGCTGCATGTTGCGTGGGCTTTGCGCCCACAATCCAAAGACGTGCGGGTTAAACAGTAAATCTAATTTGGTTCTAGATGGTCGTAAATGTGTCACTGTTTTTTGGTTCTCTCTGGCGGTCTGGAAATTTAGCAGCCTCTTAGAATTAATGTTATTCCCAGGCACTCAGATTAAAGTCTTCATTATTTAAGTGAAGTGGAACAAATGAAACTCGTTAACCTGTTTAAAGTGGTCTTCATATGCTGAACTCGCTGATGCTGAAAGAATGAATAGTGTGTGTGCGTATTCTGGAAAATGAATGAGAAAGGCTTCAACGCTGTACCTGACGATATTGCAAGTCCTGCTGAACAGCGCGCCGCCATGCTTTCCTTGCAGAGGTCACGTGGTTAAGGAGTCACGTGGTGCTCGGCTGTCGTTTTGTAAGCAAACATTTTTATTTATTTATAGCACCCGCTATGAAACGTATTTCCCAAGTGCTGTTAAACAGAGCAAGGGGCTGTTAATAGTTTTTTTTTTTTTTTCAAATATATTCTGGATACTCGAATGATTTTACTGCACGCGGAAACAAAATTATTTCACTAAAAACAAATTTACCAGGGTCAAAATTATTAGCTCCCCTGATGCTAATATTCAATTCTGTTTGATATAGTTTTTAACATGATTTACAGTGGAATTGAAGTCGGGGCTTTGTGCAGGCCAGTCAACAACGTTCACTGTGGTCTCCTGAAGGTACCAGGAGCTGCATATGTTTTGGTTCATTGTTGTGTTGAAAGACAATACGACAACCCAGACCCGGGTTTAACAATGACTGCTTGAGGCTTTCTTTCAAAATCTTCACATATCCGTGTTTCTTCATGATTAGTTCGACCCTGACAGGACTTCCAGTTCCATATGAAATGAAGTATCTTCACAGGATAATACTCTCACCATGGTGTTTCAATATTTGGATGGTGTTCTTTGGCTTGTTCTCCTCTCCCTTTTTTTCTTCAAACATAAGCAGCATCTCTGTGACAAAAGAGTTAAGTTTAGTTTAAGTAGAGTTTAAGTAGAGTTTAGTTTAATCTGACCAAAGGACGCGCTTCCAGTATCTTTCTCCAGCTTGTCCTTATTATACTTCAGTCTGGTTTGAAGTATCTCTTCTGCAGAGCTTTTCTTGGTCTGAAACCTCTCAGTTCATTGCTGTGCAGGGTTCTGGTGATTGAAATCTTTGAGACTGCAATTCCAAACTTCATTAAGTCATGTAGTTGCAGCCTGGCAGTTTTTCTGTGTTCTATAGAAACATCTTTCTCCAGTTTTCTTTCCAGAGTCTTTGAAATGTTTCGATTGTTCTGCTGGCTTGTTCTGTACTGTGTGTTTTAACACAACTGCAATTCTTTGTTGTTTTTTACTTAATTTTACCTGATAAGGTCTTTATACTATAACCCTAATAATTTAAAAAAAAAAACTACAATTCACATGGAGACTAATAAAAACAAAAACTGAAACCAGAAAAATTATTGTGAAGACTAAGTTGCAATAAGTAAAAGCTTATTTTAGAAACCAACAAATGGAAAATCCATAAATATGCAGTTGTTTCATATTAATAGTAAAATCTCTTAACTCCTAATTACTAGTAAATTACAGTAGCCTGTGAATCTGGCACCGCCCCTGTAATGTCACTAGAAGGTCAACCTCCAGAACTGTTCTCTCTGTCTGCTAGACTCTTTGATATTTATCATTGTTTAGTTTCACAGCGTCTGTTTTCCTTCCAGTGAGTTTCCTGTCTGGATTCAGCTTTCCTTTCCCAGTGGATTTTAGTATTCTTTAGATTTGCATCAGACAAAATAAAGTGTCACCTTTTGTTATTCAGTTTGTCTCAAAGTCTTTGTTCTTGTCCTATTTGTGTAATTCTTAATGGTTGTTTTTACTTCATTTTAAGACCTGCTAAGGTCTTTAAATTATAACTTTAAAGACCATTTTTAGAAAGTACAATTAACAATGGACACTGCTAAAAACAAAAACTGAAATCAGAAAACTTAATGTGAAATCTAATTTTTAATAACAGAAAATATTATTAAAAAAAACAAATGGAAATCCATAAATATGCAGTTGTTTAATCTTAATAGTAAAATCTTTTCACTGCTTTATTGTTGGTAAATTACAGTAGCCTGTGAATCTGGCACCTCCTCTATAATGTCACTAGAGGGCGCTCTGATTGTCTGTAGAGCGGATTGACAAGTGCGATGTTGAAGCTTGCAGAAATTGCTGTTGGAAATCTATACCTGATGGTGCTGCTGTGATTAAATATTTTTGTCCTTCAAAAAAATGTAGGTAAATATGGAAAATAAAGACTGAGTCTATGACCTCATGTCCTGCAGGTAGGACAGTACTTCTTTTTTGGATGGATGGATGGATGGATGGATGTATAAGACATGTATAAGTTAGAAGAAAAGAGTGAAATGACAAAAACGGCTGTGTAAAATAGAAATACACAAACATGTCTGGAAGCATCTCCACACTTCACTGTCACACATGTGGTTTTACTGGTAAAGCTTTTCAGCGGGGTTTACTGGTAAGTGGCTTTACTGGTAAGTAGTGTTTGTAGTAAACCCAGCAGGAAATTAGAGTATCACGTGTAAAAGTGGTCAAATCCGTTCATATGCTCATTTAAGCTGATGTGGTTCAAACACTGAAGTCTGTGATTGTCTATGTAATCCTGCGATTGGAAAACAACTTGTGTGATTCCATTGCTTTTTATTTTATTGAAGGTAAGGTTAAAAGTCTCAGGACTTACTGTTTAGTTCACTTTGAGACTCAAAAAAGCACACGGTGCACTTAGCAAAAAAGAAAAGAAGGTGTAGACAGAGCTTCTCCACATTGTAAAGAAACCATATGGAAATAAAGAAGGAATATGATAGCGTGCCAAGAGAGGAACTATGGTATTGTATGAGGAAGGCAGGAGTGGCAAAAAAGTATGTGAGGGTGGTGCAGGACATGTATGACAAAAAGACACAGGTGAGGTGTGCGGTAGGGGTGAAAGATGGGTTCAAGCTGGGGTTGGTATTAATTCAGGGATCTGTTCTGAACACCTTCTGGTTTGCAATGGTGATGGACAGGCAAACAGATGAGGTCAGGAAAGAGTCTCTGCAGACGACACTGTAATTTGACAGGTGGACAGGTGTGTGTGATTGAGAGGGAGACAGGTATAACAGTGAAGCTGCAAGGAATAGAGGTTGTTAAGAATAAATTTCTGGGGTCAACAATCCAAAGCAACAGATGGTACACTGAAGAAAAGAGTAAAGAAGACAGGGTGGAGCAGGTGGAGTCAGAGGTGGTTTGTGACAAAAGGATACCAGCAAAAGTGAAAGGGAAGGTTTACAAGAGGATAGTGAGATAAAGAATCTTCAATATGGAGCTACCAGACTGGATGAAAAGAGGAAGACCACAGAGAAGATTCAGGGTTTATGTGAAAGAGAAGCATATTAGGAATACAGTAAGATTTAGACAGGTGATCTGCTGTGGTGGCCACTAAAGGGAACAGC